TAGTCCTAGGCTGTTTTTTTCTTGTTGCTCATTGTTTCAGGCTTGAGAACCGAAACGGGAACGGACTCATCATCTACCTCATGTACGCTTTTCGTCAAGAACCGACACGTGTAACATTACTTCAGAGCCAATACAGATTTGAGAAGGCCTACCCATCATCACGCGCCAGGATGTGTGTATTTCGTGTTTTTCAACGGCAACCTGTTCATCACAGTGTCGCGGACCTAAAAAAACTGCCGTAGACCAAAAACGTACTTTATTGCCGACAGGGGATAGAGCGAAAGGAAGACAACAAACCAACGGCACAGCGGTGTTCCCCGTCGTTGTGGATCTGGCGCACAGACGTGTTGCTGGTATACAGTCGAATTCGGTGTGAAAGGTAGCCCATGCTGCCCAATCTGTTGTGAACTCGCCGACTAGTCTATTGGTTTGATTTCTGCTTCAACAAAAAATTAGTCGTGGGGTTCGTGAGCCCCTTCACTTTCTCGTCGGAGGAGGGTGACTCCCCTTGCCATCGATACTATCCGTCCAATTTGTAATTCGCTTCATATCACTCGCCACCCCCATCCTGCGATTCCAGGGTCTACGAGTGCTTTCGTCACCCATACTCTGGCCGGGGGTATGCAGGGTCTCAGCAAAAAATAGCACTTCAAAGCGTCCAGTCTGGGTCTCGAACCACACCCATCCGACTTCAACGGCATCCACATACGTTCGTCATGCTGCAGAGTTCGGCGTAATCAATACTTGTTTATTGCAGAAGTATTAGCGACACGCACATCTTGTTTTTGGAATGCTTTGAGTTTCTTTTCGCCACTGTTTTTGTGTTTTTGCCCGTATTGATCGAATACGACGTTTCAGCGTGTGAAATGCGCAATTATTGGGAAGATTGGCACTACAGCAATAGGGTGTACCTTTTGCCACGCTCGTTCAACAGATGGCTGCGGTGTAGACCATCAAGATGCAGAATGGTCACAGGTTCTTGCTGATTGATCCTTTCTTCTTAGCGAAAAACTGCAGTTTCCATACGTGACCAATCTCCCACACTACTGACAGTTTTGCTAAACCGCTGATGGGACACCCATGGGTCACCCATGGGCCGCCCATGGGCACTTCATGGGCACTTCAACCTAGAACTTTGCCACCGGCATGTCAACCTAGAAGTTAGGCACTTGCACATCAACCTGGAACTTCGCCACCAGCGCCCACCTAGCACGTGTCGTGTGGGCTTCGGGTTAGGGGTAGCGTTAGCGTTAGGCTTATTAGCCGCTATCGTGCCCGTTCCAACGCGGATAATCTATTGTTCAGGAGTACACTGGTTCGGTTGAAGGGCTCTCATTGGCCGCCCATGGGCTTCCCATGGGTTGCCCATGGGCCACCATGGGGCTGCCCATGGGCCTAACGGGGTGCCCATGGGCGGCCCATGGGTCACCCATGGGTCAGACTCAGTTTGTGACGTTGCATTTGAGTCTCAAGCCGCAGCGATGCCATTCTTTTTTCTTAGTCTCTACCATGGGAAAGGCAACGTTGGTGACTGGGGTGTTTCGCAGGGGACGGCTTTCTTCGTATCTGGCGCCAAATATGTTCATAAAGTGGGCGACATGGTTTTGGGTCTCGATGAACTCACCAGCGCCGACTTCTTTGCTTCCACGTCCTCCGGATGAAGTGGGGCTGTTGATGTTTGATGTGGGCTGTCGTGAGAGAGCAGCCGCATAACACAGACTGCGAACACGTGGTGGCGTGCAGTTGCTGTTTCCTTGACACCGTTCGTTGTCGATCACTTGATGGAATTGTTGATTTGGAGGAGGACTCCTGCCCCAGACAGGAGGTCCTCGCCCATTGGTATATCACCGCTGTATAAAAAAGAACGCCGCTGTTACATACCCACTGCAGGCAAAGAGGATCATTGCGTGTAGTGAAAAATAATACTTCGTACTATACGGCAAACCAATCGACTCTAAAGTTGGGCAGGAGGAACAGACTTGAAATTTCCTGTCCTCCAAGTTTTTTCGAGAAGTTTTGCCTGTCGGAAGAGCCTACGTTAGTGCCAACGGGTGTAACAACATATTCGCCTGATTGAGAGCGAAGTATCTGATTGAGAGCGAGAGCCAAAAAAATTGAAATTTCGGGTCCAGACGCCTCTTGCCATTTCTTGGCAAGTAGGGGACGGGCTATTCCAAGAAGCGGTGCAAATTGAAGGTCTCATCAGCAGCTTCGCGAGCATATGCGTGTCATCGTCATCGGATGCTGCAGCGAGGAGCTAGACAAGTTGCTAGATTTGCCCAGATTGGCTATTTCTGCTCAAACTGTTTCAGGGCGGTATCGCGTCGGGCGGTGGGCTCTGCTGTAGCTTCTGCTCCCCGCTGTAGCTCCACAGCGAGAGACTCCCACAGGATGACCAGGGTAGCGGCTTGAAGCTACAGGCTAGCCCTTCAATTCAAGCTACACAGCAAGCTCCACCTCTCAGTGGTAGTCCGGCTACAGCGTATCGCGCACTCTCGCTCTCAATCAGATGCTACGCTCTCAATCAGGCGAATATGTTGTTGTGTACAGATTTCAAGAAACTGCTTCCATCTGATTGCCTCCCAACGAACCCAAGTCTGGTGGCATACATATCACGGTGAAAAACTACCAGAACAACAAGATCACTCAGGTGCCTCACAGCCCTTGCCGCGAGTTAACGATCTATTCAACAAACTCACCAAGGCCCAAGGTGTACTCCCGCTTCGATCTCACTTCGTCTTTTCATCAAGTAGTCATGAGCCACAAAGACACCATTGAGGGTACTTTGTAACCCGACATGACTCCTGGAATAGTGTCGCATGCCCCAGGGTGTACTACTGTAATGCTGCCCCCCATTACTTCATGCGTGGAACTAACGAGGTGGTCGAAGGGCTGGAGAATGTCGCCGCCTACCTAGATGACGTACCTAGTTTCGCGCGGCTCAGGAAACCTCTCCCGTCCAAGTTTAGTCTAATGTTGGAACCGCCAACACCGTTTTTCTTGGACTCGCCGTCTCCCCTGCTGGCCTCCAGCCTTGCGCAGAAAAAGTCACGGCACGCACCGAAAGCCAATGCCGAACGAGCAATTGCCGTTCACTCCTTGGAGGTCTGTCCTACGACCGGCCTTCAATCCCGAACATGGCAAAGCACACACGTCCTACATGTAAGCGGGCGGCTACGGAAGAACACCACATTTGAGTTCACCCCATATGAGTACACCCCCCCACAGATGGAGGCCACTGAGCGCTTGATGCATGCTGATCTGGCCCAACCACCCGTATTGGTGCAACTCGACTGGGACGCAGTCGAGGACGGAACCCGCCCCTTTTAGGTCTACACCGACGCTCTAGTCATGATGGCCTCGGCTCGACTCTACATAGAGCAAGAATAAGACCTTGAACAGGCCGGCGGCACGATTCTTCCTATCGTGTACATTAGCCGTGAAGTCTCGATTCCGAATACAATTGGACGGAAAGGTTTTCTGAAATCGGCGAACACAACCCGCGCGTGTTGCGCTGGCTAGAATCCTTGACGTCTCGGAGCGACAACGCCGACTTCCTCTTTCTCAATGCCGCCTCTCCCCGCGACGGAGCAAGACCGCACCGATGACAGTCGTCTCACGGAAGAGGCGGAGGCGGGTGTTTTCTTTGTGTACGCGTCGCCGACGTTCCAACAGAAGGCAGCAACTGCTGAACTCACACAACAAGGATCGACAAGGAGTTTCTCAGACGTTTGTACACGCAGGTGAGAAGCAAAGCATGGTTCCGAACAAGGTAGCACAAAAGCCAACAGCCATACCAGTTCCTGATGGGTGAAAAACAAGCGGAAGCAGAAACGACGACTAACGATATTAACCACCGTTGCCCCGCGGGGGACGCGCACTGCTACCAGGGAGAGAGCTCAACTCCTCCACAAATGCCCCCATAGCGATGCAGCTCGCACACACGAGTGTGTAGCACGAAATCCATACAGTACGGGCCGGCAGATAAGGAACGTCAAATTCGGGTCGAGCCTCAATCCCTTTTTTGGAGTCCAAGGACCAGTGCAATGCATCAGGGACCCTCTGCAACACGAACCCTCTTGCGTTCGGGGACCTCTATTTGTTAAATTATGAATTCTTCTCTTGTCATGAATTGGATTAGATGTTGTAATTTATGAAGAGATATTAGAAGTTCTGATGAACAACTGGTTTGTTCATTATTACATATAGCTATTAGGTGACATACATGTCATTTGTTGAATATTAACCATTGCCCATTTGATTAAGTTACCTGAAGAAACTGGATTATCACGTATCACGAATTTGAGATCTTCAAAGATTCTGTTTAACTTACGTGTTGTATCAATCCCTTAACAGGTGGTAAAGTCTTGGATATTGTTTAAAATAGTTGAAATTTCGTCGATCTGGTTCATGTTTTTTCGTTTATAACGAATTGTTATTTATGATATTTATTTTTCATGCTATATATATTTATTTATTTTTGCCTTCCGGCAATTGCAGATGTACCTCGGAATACTTTCACTTAATGTCTCATACTCTACATGAATATTAAACCAATACGAGGTACAACAACATATGTAGGACTTATTTCTACTGTCACTTACAATATTGTGACGATAAATAATCGATAACAGAAGTGGTAACCATAGGAGTTCCTACATCCATGGGAGATGTTTCCGAAGGGCGAGCCATTTCACCGCGAGAACCATCCGGCTCTGCGATGGCTTCGATACGCATGACTGTTTCGATGAGAATGCTACTAGGGTCGCCGTTATATGTGAGATAAACCCTATTGGCATATTCCGAAGGATTTGACGTTTCGGTTAAAAAATGAGGCCTCGGCCTGTCGAAGTTACGAAGCACGGACCTGTCCGAGGGATGGAGCGCAGGTGAATATGCATGAACCTCTGAAGTATGCACTTTCAAGAGCCTTATTGGGTCTGGGGGTGAAACACGACTTGGAAACCGGGGCGCCCTTCACAGGAGAGAGGAACCTCAGCATGGACATCGTGATCAGGCCAGGAGCCCTGGCAAGCGCATCATCTCCAGCGTACCGTCACAAAGGAATACTCCTCGATGTGACGCACGCAGATCCGCAAGCACAAGTACACTTGCGAAATGGCGGCGCGACCAGCGATGGAACCGCCGCCCAAGCCTCCGAGGCGCGAAAGCGTCAGCACTATGCTCGGCCAGGACACGTGTCCTTTGACGAGCGCAGCTATAAACTTACCACCTTAGCGTTGAAAAGCTTTGGCCGCCTTGGAGAGGAGGGTTACGAATTCATCGACGAACTAGCGACGCACGCTGCAGGAGGGAGGCATGGAGGAACAATGACCCAGAAAGGATTCTACAAGGAGAGGCTACTTCAGGTCGTTTCGGTGGCTACGCAGGTGGCCATATCAAGGAGGGTACAAAGATACAAGCTCGCACTACGTGGACGACAAGAAGCGGAGGATCAACGAACAAGATCGACACCGAACACATCGACACCAATGATTTGGGGATGTAGTGTCGATGCACTGTAACAGTAGGAATGTAATGGGTTAACTTTTGAGCGTAGGTATAGTTGTTACAAAGCATTTGGTAGGTACATCACATATACTAAAAGAAACGTCAATTTAGTAGTAGATTATGTTCACAAGATTTCGGTTCAACGACAGGAACTTCTTGTCAGAGTTTTGGAGAGACAAGGTTTTGGCATTTTCACAAAGGAAGTAACAGGAGAACGGAGGAAATGTTGAATTCAATCAATAATGTTATGATTTCCTTCAGTTTTAAGTTCGGCATTGGTAGGTACGTACTAACATGACGTGCATGTACAATATCGTATTCGTACAAGTATGAGCATGAAGATAGAAATATTATGGGGTATACATTGAGTGAAACGTTTTAGGACTTTATTTAGTGCTAACATCTTCACTTGTCGGAGGGCAATAATAATAGTAACAATATTAATAGTTTTAGGCTTCTTAGATAGGGAAAACGAGCCACTGTGAGCATGTGCGTCGGGAAGATTATTGGCATCGGTAATGCTGATACTTTCGTTGCTAACAAGAAAGTTAATTCGGCCCTCGACTTCGTCGTGACGAGCCGTTGAAGATACCCTAACCCCGAGACATAGGGGTCGATAACGGGTGGCGGTAGAACTGAGGTTCATCCCACGATAAAAATTTCGGGGTGATGGGTATAATCACTCCACAAGAGGTTTGTGAATGTCCCCGAGCCGGCAATAACTTGACGGAAGTTAGCAAGAGATGGTCTAATTCAACATCCTCCAGCAGTGTTTGTACTATTGGATGGCATGTAAAATTGAGATTTTAGGCATGCTGCGACGCTAAGACCCCTGAACTGGTCAGGGTAGACGGTCGGTTCGAAATTTCCACCGAAAGGGTCCGCGAGACGGAAGGGGATACCTTCTGTGCCCGCTGGATAAGAGTGGAGGTTCGCTTGACGGTCGTCTTCTTAGGAGCATACCTCTTTGCCGGTGTCCTACGGGTCGTAGTTTTGCGTTTTTGTCTCGGCATTGTAGTATTACTTGTTATTAACATACATTTTACATTCAAATTGTTAATGAAAATTGAAACCAAAAGTGTCACCACGGTTCCCTATTTAAATCCTTGCCACTGTGTTAGGCTGTGAGGATTCAGTGAAAACTTTTTCTGGTTCTTGACCCCTTTTCTATGTCGACTCAGGATCGAGACCGGGTCAAGAGTAGTGACGAAGCTCTGATGGTTAGTCTGGACCTTCTTTTGGGTTCGTGCTTTATAACCCACCTTCTGAATACCTGATGAAAATACTCTTGGAATTGAACCTGGTGGGTTCCACGCCGTGCTTGAGGAGGTGGAATGGGGGAATCTATGATGGAGGGCGACTGTTGTCGCCCCTCCTAAGGAGTGCCCTGTCAAATGATAATTTGGACCCTTCCCGTATTTGTATTGTACCTCGTGGTATTTCTGACAGCATTCTCATAATGTTTGGTACCTGTAAAAGTACCTACAGTTAACGCTGCGTCTGTGTAGAGATCGTGTAGTTTGGACGGAACCATCCCCCTATTGGCCATCACAACCCTTTTGGTCGCTCTATGCTGGTACACGGCATGTCGCCTGTCGCTGAGATCATCGTCGTACTCGAAGCCTACTACGTTACGGCGTCTTTCACTTGGGGCTTTATATGATTCAATACTGAGCTTCGTTTAGGATGGGGTCACCCTCTGCACCCTGTGGGTTCGCGAACTCTTTTTGGGAATAAGTTTGAATCTGAGGGTTCGTAAAATACATTATTTGGTTACCGAATGCAGCGCCCGAGACGTCCATGACTTAATCGACCGATCGGTTCCCTCTCTGATTCCTAGACCAATATTTCAATGAATTACAAGTACCCTTTGTAAACTAAAATGATATTAAACCCCTTCTTTCGATTGTTTTCGAAATTCAACGCCTTCCCGGTCGCCGTCATATCTATTTGATTTTACCTATTTAGGAACATAATCGTGTGTAAATGTCTTGATATATTCTCGTTGTCGGCTCCCTTGCCTGTCTGATCGAACCCTGGTGGGTTCCTCCTTTCATAAATCGCTGTCTAAAGAAATTTTACAAACTGGGGCCTGATGATCCATCGTGATTTTGAACTTGAAATTAAAACTAACTCATGGATGAAAACTCGGCGACCGGGAAGGCGTTGAATTTCGAAAATAATCGAAACAAATATATATTTTTTTATTATTTTGCTTGCCTTCCGACAAATGCAGATGTACCTCAGAAAACTTTCACTAAATGTCTCATACTCTACATGAATATTAAACCAATACGAAGTACAACAACATATCTCGGACTTATTTCTACTGTCACTTACATCGTAAAAATATCTCTTCCAATGACAATCCTCATGGTATCCTACATGCAATGCGTTCGTAAGCTTGCTAAAATACTACTGCGTTGGTTTTTTTATTGTTTCTTAAAGTCAATTTTCATCTTTGCCCTCCCTAACCTAAAGGTCTAGCGAGTGCGGCTTCACTATCAAGTCCGAAAGTGAAGCCTGGTTGGACTACGTCCAACTTGTGAGTTTTGTTTGTTGGTGGATTATAGTCCACAAGTACACCATAATATTGAAATGTCCACTGTTATTGGTGAAATGTCTATTTATTTTATTTTTTTGCCTTCCGACAATTGCAGATGTACCTCAGAAAGCTTTCACTTAATGTCTCATACTCTACATGAATATTAAACCAATACGAAGTACAACAACATATGTAGGACTTATTTCTACTGTCATTTACATCGTAAAAATATCTCCTCTTCAACTTGAAATAAAACCAATGACAATCCTGATGGTATCCTATATGCGTTCGTAAGCTTGCTAAAATACTACTGCGTTGATGTCCGCTTGTAAAAGCTGAAATCCAACAAATGCTATTGTAAATTCTGATGAAAATATGGAAATACTTGAAAATAGTATTGTGTCCATGATAAGTGATAATATCCATGATTTTGACAATAACAACGATGATTTCAGGATTTTCTCGAGATACGAGAAGAAGGAAATGTGTTCTAAACTAAAAGCTAACCAAAGGGATAGACTATGTTGATCACTTTTTTTGGAAATACCGAGAAATATGATATCCCGGATATTAAGGAAGAGAAGTATGTATGTAAATATGATCGTTGACGGACTGAAGGCACCTGGAGCGGTTCCGACGTATGTGACGATTGTTCGTGAGGATGCAGATGGAGCGTGTCGGTTCCCTCACTTTCATTTGGCTACAAAATTTGACTTGTGAAGAATGCGGTAAGATGTGGATCTGTAAAGTCAAAGTTGTATAATCTGTTTCCGACCTACCATGGAAATATCGATTTTTCGATTAAGAATACGAATTACTACCTGGATAAGGCAAAATGCCTAGTATGTCCTATAAAGGATAAGGTAGTGCAGAGGTACAAGCTCGCATTGCGCGGGCGTCAAGACGCCGAAAACAGGCGAACAAGATCGACCTCGGACCAGTCAACGCCAATGATATGGGGATGGAGTGTAGACGCATCGTAGAACGCGTTTTCGTTTGAAGTTGACGTCTTGATTTGAGAGTAGATGTGACAGATTTGCGTAGAATAGGGTAAGAAGATGTTATCATGAACGGAGATGAAAGGGCTTTTCCAACACGGAGATGTAGCATGGATCAAAGCATTTGTTGGATTTCAGCTTTTACAAGCGGACATCAACGCAGTAGTAGTATTTTAGCAAGCTTACGAACGCATAAAGGATACCATCAGGATTGTCATTGGTAAGTTGAAGAGGAGATACTTTTACGATGTAAATGACAGTAGAAATAAGTCCTACATATATATGTTGTTGTACTTCGTATTGGTTTAATATTCATGTAGAGTATGAGACATTAAGTGAAAGTTTTCTGAGGTACATCTGCAATTGTCGGAAGGCAAAAATAAATAAATAAATAAATAAGGTAGTTGATACGGAACCGGTCGTTTATGGAGCGACCTATGATGAACTGATGAAAAGAATTGAAAATTCTGCTAGTAGCGGAGCTGTACGTTCTAGAGAAATCGTCGAAAATAGGAGTTCGGAATCAATTCGAGCTGCTAGAGAATGTGATGGAAACTTCGAGCGTTTTATGATGGATGATGCTGTTAAGAAGCTGATGTATCACCTGCTTTAATAAGGTGGTAGCTAAGGTACCCATGGAAGGAAGGAGATGAAGAAATTAAGGATACGGTGTTCCCTATTACTGACTACGCCGAACCAATGGTCGAGTGCTTTGATCGATGGGTTGCTGAAAAAAAATTGAAGGGAGATTGTATTATTACTCAGGGTATGCCTGATTATTATTATTATTTTGTTTGCCCTCCGACAATTGCAGATAAACGGAGACATACATAAAAGGTCGATCGTAAACGCCGTCATGCCAAGCCAAATTAACTCGATGCCCAATAGCTAGGAATGTTTGCCTCTAAGTCAACAAAACTTTTGTCGAAACACTACATACATACAGCTGAACTCTAGGCACGAACCTTAGATGGAGAAAAACGAACAAAACCCCAACCTCATCCACCCGAANAGCCCATGCTCCCCCAGACCCCCGACACTGCCACCCCTTGTTCCCACTTCCTTACCACCTTCAACCACAAGGGCCAAGCCCTCCCCCCTCAGCACTCCCGACACTGTTCCTGATTATTGTAAGTCTTCTTTTTTTTTTTTGCCTTCCGACAATTGCAGATGTACCTCGGAATACTTTCACTTAATGTCTCATACTCTACATGAAAATTAATCCAATACGAAGTACAACAACAGATGAAGGACTTATTTCTACTGTCACTTACATCGTAAAAATATCTCCTCTTCAACTTGAAACAAAACCAATGACAATCGTCATGGTATCCTATATGCGTTCGTTCGTAAGCTTGCTAAGTACTACGGCGTTGATGTCCTCTTGTAACAGCTGAAATCCAACAAATGCTTTGATCCATGCTACATCTCCGTGTTGGAAAAGCCCTTTCATCTCCGTTCATGATAACATCCTACCCTATTCTACGCAAATCTGTCACATCTACTCTCAAACAAGACGCCAACTTCAAACGAAAACGCGTTCTACGATGCGTCTAAAGTCTTCTCTTGTTTATTCCTGGGTGGAGGCACGTGATACAAGTATCTTTTATAGCTCCTACTAGTCTAAGGGAATGGACCCAATATGATGGTCAAGATGTGGTAGTATGGGATGAAATGGATGAAGACAGAAAGGATTTGGGTGGGCAGCGTGTAACGCAGCTTTTTGACGGTCAGGTAACCTATTTTGATGTAAAATACCGGGAAGGTATAAGAAGAGTTAAATGTCCGGAGATAATCGTTACAATGAATGAAGGATGCTATTATCCGGAAGCGCCTCCAAAATTTAAGGCTAGAACTATGGTTTGTAGTATCCATAGAAGTCTATTGAAGAATCCTGTAGAAATTAAAAAAATCCCAATAACAAGTGTAGTATGGGATGATGATGGTATGATTTGTGATGGTGAATTTGATGATGCATGAAGTTGGCACCTAACGTAAAGTGAGGGCGTCCACCCTGGCTACCCACTAATAGCGATGCACCCCCTATTTTGGGGCCCCTTCCCCAAACTTGACGGGGATGATGCTATTATTGGGGCACGGGTAGGCCCGGCCCCCCTCACGGATTCAAGTTGAATTTGATATATATGTGCTATTGCATGTAATTGAAATCTATTTGGTTTGACGGCGACCGGGAAGGCGTTCAATTTCGAAAACAATCGAAAGAAGAAGGGGTTTTGTTTGATTTCAAGAATTAAAACAAATACGATTTCGTATTTATGAGAGTCCGTAGTGCAGAGGGTCCCTAATGCATTACACCAGCCGAATAGTCTAGTCTAGTCCGTTCTCTTAATAAAAGTGATTTCTAATTTCATTTAAACGTCCCATCCTCCCAATCCTCTTGTTTCTCACTTCGCATAATTTCTTTTTTGGCTTAAGAATACCACACAACAACAAATCGTCATCATCTTGCCAGAAAGAAAGCTCGGTGTGGCATTGGTGTTGTGAAATAGTAACCACTCTCTCCCCCCTACCAAAAACATGCACTGTTCAGCTAGCTAGGTAGGGGGGTGGGGACACAGAAGGAGCAGCAATGGGACTTTTGTTATTGGGCACGTTCCTTAAGCTATCCCTTGTTTCTTATGTCGTGGCGGCATCGCACCATCATGTTTCTTATCGGGACGTTTCTTACGTTGTGGCTGAGATTGAGGTGTGCTGCTCAGCCGGGTTTTTTTTTGTAATAATTTTGAGCCTATTTTTCTGAACAGAATTTTCTCAACTGCGGGCTCATACTTAACGCACGAAATGGACCAACACCTGTCAGCCCCCCGTTACTTGCGGACCGATCCCCCCGTGCTTGCTACTTGTTTTTTCTTCTTGCGAACAGGACCTCTCTTGTCTGTTCAACCACCGCACAACAACAGGGCGAAGCACACAACGGTGCCTCTTGTCCGCTGCAGTGAGCGGAAGCTGCTGAAACTCGGGGAGGCGTCATGGTTTGCGATGCTCTACCGGTCATGCTTCGGTTATCGCACGTCGTGCGCTGTTGCTCGAGATCGGCATTTGATGCCCGGTCGGGCAAAGGGGTGGGCTATGCTAATGAAAATGGCACGGACAATCAATGTTTTTTTGTCTGGAGAGACCCAAGCTAATAGAGCTTGGGAACAGCTGCTGACCCCTTCTCGCGATGCATTGAAGGCAAGCACTACTGCAGGAGGGAAAAATAGCCCTGAGCGTCAGGCACAATGTACACGAGTTTGCATACCCAAACCACGCCAGAAACGAAGAAGAGGTTGGCTTCCGCTCACCGTAGACCGGCCTTTGTGCCGGATACCTCATCGCGCGAATCCTCTTTCCTCTGGCAGCAAGAAACTCGACAGAATCCAGTACATAGCGTGCTCTGAATGTCATGGACGGAAAGTTATCGATCTTCACGCGTAAAAAAACGAAGCCACCGCAGGAGGGATTTCAAGGAGAAAACCGTTCTATTGACCACGGATTGCAGCTCCTACATGTGCCCGGCAGAAAAGCTGTGAAGCACTGCTTAAAAGAGATGAAAACCAAACATCGAAAAGACGGCCGAGCCGCGACCGGACGAGCTGCTGGTTCCCCCGATCCCCGCGGAATAGGCACCTAGCTCCACGGCTGTGCTTATTGCCTACCCCATCTTGGACAGGACAAGCAACTCGATATGAACAACAGAGGTCGACCAAATAGTGGCTTGCGAGAATGATCGGGCGAGAGGCGCTGATCTCCTGCACCACGCTATCACTCCTGCGTAAACCAGACCTCAGCTTCTACATGCGTCGCTCCCTATCGAAATCCGCGACATCACTCAACGCGCCGCGGCTCGCTCGCTCGCTGACACTAGCCCATACCCCCGGCACCGACTCCCTTGCCACCGCCCTTAGCCTTGGCCTTCCCCTTGACCCTCTCCTTCTTGCCCTTGGTGGTCCTATCTGTGGGGACCCTCTCCGTCACCGATACGTCCTCCGGGAAAACAAACCAGAACGCCACCCCAACCGCGTACGTCACCGCCCACGAGAGGCAAGCCCACCACGCCAAGAATCCGGCCACCCCGGACCAGAACGCCTCGGGGATCTCCGGAATCGTTGAGACGAAGGCCGCCAGCCCTCCCCCCCCTAACCCTAACGCCGCCCCGCCGCCGACGGCGGCGCCGCTATTCGGCGCCTCCGTGGTTCCCGCCGCGGCAGAGAAGGCCGTAGCCCAGGACTCTAGGCCCACCACACGGCGAGCGGCGTCACAGACTCCGAGCCCTGCCCCCCGCCCTGTCCCTGACACGAGGTCGTCGCCCGTGGCGCCATCGCTGATGTGTACCAGCAGGGCCAGCGAGAAGAGGACGGTGAGGGCAGGCGCGGCGTACTGCGCGGCTGCGATGACGAGGTACTGCAAGCGGGCGTCGAACTTGGACCGCACGGCTTGCGAGTCGACCTGAAGGCGGGTGTGTGCGTGTACAGGGGTAGGGGCGGGGATGGTCGCGAGAGTGAGGTAACGCCTGCAGCAAGGTGTCAAACGAAAATAATCGACGCTGGTGAACGGGCAGTGGTGTAATGCGTACTCGGCACACCCACGCTACCCTACTGTAGTGATTTAAGTGCAACGGATGGGACACGAATTGACGCCAAAGCGTTCAATGCTCGCGAGGAGTTCAAGGCAAAACGGGAGCCGGCCACAATCGGATCTAGTCCAGGTGTGCAGCACGAGACACTCGACCTCCAATTCACACCGACGATAAGGTGCCGAAAAAGTACGGGCGAGTCGTCGATATATAAATTTGGTTTGCCCTACATCCAAGGGGGTGCTATCGAAACACAAACTTGACGTGCAACGAAAACAACCTCAGGCGCAACCCACATGCACGGGTCCCCTCAACCCCCCCCCCAAAAAGCTTCCGGGAACCTGAAACCGCGGCACCACTAAAAGCTTCCATTTTCGTGCCCCCTCTCTCAAGAAGAAGCGTGCCATAGGAGTCGAAATATCGCTATCACCATCTGGCCTCGTGGGTAGAAAAGCTGTCCAAGGGCCACTACTACCACTGCTACTACTTCTACCACTACTACCACTACTATGATACCAAGATGTATGCACGGCCGTGTATGTACCAACCACAGGAGAACACCTCCCCCCCCTCGGCCTGCTCCCCGGCCGGGGGCGAAATCGACCTAGTGAGTCCCTCGCGGGCGAACCCGGCCGCAACAGATGGTAGGTGGGTGGTGTCCCAAGGTGCAACTCACCGCCGCGCTGGCTCAGCATGGCGGTGAGGATGCACAGACAGTGGTAGTGGCGAGAGGTGTGCATGGACACTGTTCCCGCGGCAGCAGTAATGCAAAGCGGCAAACTGCACCTGGCAACCACCGTCGCGGAAAGCGTGGCCCAAGAAGCTGGAGGAGTAGAGAGATTCGTGAACACCACGTCAGGAAGCACCGCTCGCGGGAGACGGGAGACAACCGCGGGCACCGCGGGGAGGGAGTGCTGCACCCTCCTCGTCAAAACACCACAGGCAAGAACCGAGCTCTGCAGAGATGGATTGATGCGAGGAAAGTCGCCGCTCGGAAAATACGGAAGAAAGCACACCCGCAACGCGAGGTGGACCGAGAGAGACACGAGACCGCAGCGGCCGTCAAGGCGGCTGGAAAGAAGGAGGCACGAGAGGGCGACCTATCGTTCGGCACGTTCAACGTACGCACGCTCGCCTACAGCGGTAGGAACCCCATCGATCACAACGTGATGACGGTCATGCAGATTTGTTCG